ACCTAAATGAGATTGTCAAAAATTATGAAAAAAATATTTATATATTTTTTTTTGCAAAATATTTGTCAAAATGAAAATTATAATTCGATTTTGAATGTATGCAAAATTTTCAGAATTATTTAAATTTAAAAAAAAAAATAATTATCTATATTATATTTATAAGTATATATTAAAAATTGAAATATTTTTATATTTAAATTCTTTCTTTAAATTCGTTAAAAAAGAGTTAGTAGAAATTTTTCACAATTTGTAATTCAATTTAACATTTTATTGAATTTTTTTTTCTACAATTTTTTTATTATTATTATTATTATTATATTTATCAGGAAGTACTCTCGAGGCTAATTTGTATAATATGTACAATCTCGTTACTATATCAGGGGGTGCCAATTGCCTTCTTCCAGGTCAGTTGGTATCGAGGCAAAGTCTGATAAAGTAATTGCTTCCTCAACTTTTCAATTGAATATGATTTAAAAGTGACACTTTAAAAAATTGATTTTACTAAAAATAATTTAACAAAAAAGAAAATATTATATTTTTTATATTTCCACAAAATTTGTTTGTTAAACTAAAGTTTAATTACACTTTTTTTTTATTAAATTAGACGCAATATATGACTTTATAGATTACATAACCTCAATAATTTGATAATAACAATAATAATAATAATAATAATTTTTTCATTAAAATTATTGAGGTTATGTAATCTTTAAAGTGACATGTAAATTTATGTTTGTTGCTAAATTAGGGCAAAAGTAAGGTTAGATTTAAATTTTGAGGTTATGTTCGCCTCCTGACTTGGAATATGCCATAATTTTTGAAGTTATTTTAAAGGCAATCATTTCTCAACATAAGTTTACTTTTAATCTAACATGACACACAAAAAATAAAACTCAATGATTTCTTGATCTATAAAACTTAAATTTTGAGGTTATATTCATGTTTTAACCCAAATTTTTTTCTCTAATTTTAAGGTTACATCAATAACTGCAACTATAAAACAGTTTTCTTTTGACTTTAAATTTTGAAGTTATATATTCACCTCATGACCTATGACCTTTAACCTAAATTTGAGGTTATGTTCGATTCTTGAAACAGTAGCGATGATATTACTATTTTCATATTTTTATTGCCATTTTATTATTAATTCAAAAAAAAAAAAAAACAAAAAAATGTTTGAAAGGCAAAAAAGAAATATTACTAAATCTTAGTGAATTTTAAAACTTTTTTTTAAAATAGAATTTCAGTTCCTTTTTATTTCATATAAGAAAAAGTAACAAAAGTCAAAGAAATTGAATAATATTTTTGAATATATAAAGACGTTGCATAAAATGTTTAAAAGGATTTCTAGAAAAAAAAGAAAACTTTGCATAATTTGAAATTTTCCCAACTGTTTTTATAGATCGTATAATTTTTATGACTTCATTTTCAGTGCGAGGAAAAGAGACAAGTAAATCCTCAAAGTAAATGAAAAAGATTACCAAGTTCGTAAAACTTTCAAAGTCCAAAGTTTATATATAAAATTTCTTAACCTCGAGTTGAAGAATCTTATCCTAAAGACATATATGTGTAATAATATGATATCTACAAAAAAAATAATAATAACAATAATAATAGAAAAAATAATAATAATAAAATTAAAATTATTTTACAATTTAAAAAAAAAAATTTTGTTGCACATAATTAAAAAAAATACTTGAAACAAAAGTAAACTCATTGAGATATTTCAAAACAAAAAAGCATTTTTTTTTTGTTTTGAAATATAATTCTCTAAACTTTGAAGATTCATTAAAATATTCTGAGAATTATTAAAGAACCAATTTCAAAACTGTGCGAGAAGCTCATTTAAAATCCACTTGAGAATTGATTTTTTAACGCAGAAAGTTTGTTTGCCTATTATTTTTATGGGAATTGTGATGATATATTTATGAATTATTAATTAATCTCTGCCTAATTAATGTAGAAAAACTGGAAATATTAAAGGAAGAAAAAAACTAAAATCGATTAATTTATAATAAGTACAACATATAGAAAAGTTTTCACGGCGTCCCTACAGGGGGCCAATGGCGCCAAATTTCAAAATTCATTCAATAATTTTAATATTTTTTAAAATATTTTATTCTTTATTTATTTTTATTTTATATTTTATTATTCATTTAGGTAATTTATTTTTTATTCTTCATTTATTATTATTTTATTTTTATTATTTTATTACTTTTTTAATTTGATTTTAATGAAATAGCTGAAATGCTAAATAAATATTATAATTATCAGAAAAATAAAATACAATTAGCGAAATCTAAAAAATAATGATAATAAAATATACAAGTGGCGCTAAAATTCAAAATTTATTTAATATTTCTATAAACTAAGAAAATCCTAGAATTTGATTTTGAATTAAATATAGTTCAAATGCTAAACAAATACTATAAATTCTATAATTTATAATATTTAATTAATAAATAAATAAAAATAAAATAATAAATATTTTGAACAAATTAAAAATAAAATTTTGTTTTCACATTAAAAAAAAGTAAATAAAAATTCTTATTCTACTCTTTATTTGACAATAAATTCGGCAATCACTTTAAACAGTGTTAGTGTTCTAAAGACCAGAAAAGCTTCTACGGCGTCCCTCCAGAGGGCTTGTGGCGCCAAAATTCAAATTTAATTCTTGAACAAAAAAAAAAATTCATTTATTGTCGATAAATTAAAAAAAAACACACAAATAAATATACACAGTTAAAATAATCATTCCGTTTTAAAAAAATTTCTTTATCGTTTTATCGAATAATCAAGTTTATTTTATAAAAATGAATGAATGGCTGAACTTTCTTTGTAAATTATACGAGACAAAAAAAAAAAAATTTTTTTTCACCCCCAAAAAAAGTGCATTATATCTTTAAATATTCCCGGGGAAAATAAAATTAAAGTGCTTTTGTTATGGCATAAAGGAAAAGTTTTCATTTTAAAAGTTGTTTTTGTTTTTAAAACGAAACGCGCGCGCGGGGAGAGTGGCTATCGAACGATGTGAAACTAGATGGAGGATCACACAAGAATCGTTTGGGGAAAAATATTGTCGAGTGCGACGATAACGTGAAAGTGGGGGAGGGGAGGCAAAAAAAACCACGGTAAAATGCATCCTCCAGGGAGAGCTTTAACGCTTTTCAACAGAGTGTATCCGCTTGGCGATTAACTCGTTTCTGGCCTTAAAGACTCTTGAGATCCTTTAACTCCCCTGGAGCTCAAGTCCTATATATATATATATATATGAGCGAGAAGTTGAATCAGTGCGAGAACAAACGTGATACACAGAGGTTAACTATATATATATAAATTTCTTTCTTGGTTTAAAAAATTATGAAATTAATTTTGAATTTTGGCGCCACTGGCCCCCTGGAGGGACGCTTTGGAAACTTTGATTCTAGGACTGTAATATTCAATTTACAGAATCAATAACAATAATTATTTTTCAATTTTCTTTTATATGATTTTATTTTTCTTCTAATTATATTGTTCGATAATTTTAATATTTATTTAATATTTAAACATTCAAATTTCCGGTCGTTAAATCTGTAATTCTATTTGTTTAGTAGTTTTGATAATTAAAAAAGTCGAGCTACTTCTAATTTGCTTATAATTTTAATAATATTAAAAAAAAATTTAATTTTGGCACCGTTGGCCTCCTGGAGGGACGCTTTGAAAGCTTTGACTCCAGGAAACTAATATTTAATTTATAGAATCAATTACATTTATTGTTTTCCATTTTTCTTATATCTCATTTTATTTTTCTTTTAGTTGTTATTATTATACAATTATAATATTTATTTAATATTTAAACATTATAATTTATGATAATTAAATCTGTAATGATGTTTATTTAGTGGTTTTAATAATTATTAAAGAAGTCGAGTTACTTCTAAATTGCTTATATTAAATAAATTTTGAATTTTGGCGCCACTGGCCCTCTACAGGGACGCTATGGAAGCTTTGACTCTAGAACCTCTGATAATCGCTTTATAAAATCAATAATATTCATTATATTGTTTTTATTTTATTATTTTTTTTTATTTATCACTAATTTTATTTTATTTTTTTCTGTTATTTTTATTATACAGGTGACTGCATATATGTTGTTCTTACGTTTAGGTTATGTACATCAAACATCAATGTAAAAATAATGCGCAAAATTTAACCACAAGGACAGCATATATGTACACTATTAATAATAATAATATAATTATAATATTTATTTAGTATTTCGACTGCTAAAAAATAAAAATTGTCAAAAAATAAAATAATAAATATAGAAAAATAGAATAGAATATTGAATAGATATGAATATGAATAGAAAAATTATTGAATGAATTGTGAAGTTTGGCGCCACTGGCCCCCTGGAGGGACGCTTTGGAAGCTTTGACTCAAGGATTCACTTTATAGAATCAATATCAATATTTCTATGTAATAAATTATAAAAAAAATATTTTTTTTTAGAAAGGGACAATATTTTCCAATATAATTAGATTAATTTGAAAAAATAAATTGAGAATTTGAAGAGCATTTTTTTTTTTTTTTTTTTTTTCAAAGACTATGTATACATGTAAAGCCACTTTTAGAAGGTGGCAGATCCTAGTAAACCTCAATCTTATACGAATGAAGTATATAATACTGTATATATATATATACAACGGTAAGCCGCAAGAGTATATACAACGCTAAGGAGCTTTTCTTTATTCCTTATATGGTTGTTGGCAAGTACCATAGAGATACCATCGAGACACCATAATACTACGTGTACACATTGGGATACCTGTTTTCCTGGACATATAGGCAACATATAAGATTCCCACACGAACAATACCTTTCACGAAGTACACACACACACACACACACACACACACATAGAAATAAATATCACAAACCTTAACGATAGTAATTTATATCTCTAGCACACGTGTCGATGTTTTTATTTTCTTCTAACGAGCCCTTCGTATCCACAGATGTTGGACGTCAAGGATGGAGGTAGAGGGGTCTTCGTTTGCAGTAGTCCTGGTCCCGATCCTTACTCTTCTCAGGACCTTTATAATCCCGTTTACGAGGAACTCAGCAATGGTGAGTTATTATTTTATTTAAAAATATATTTTTATTTTTTTGATTATTTTTTTATTACTTATAAATTTTATTATTAATTTTTTTCTTTTAATTCTTTTACAACTGTGGGACATAAATATGTCTAACACTGAAAAAAATTTTTGGTGCAGCAGTTGTCCTAAACGAAAAATTCCTGTATTTTGTTACTTGAAAATAGAAATTTTTCGTTTAGGGTATATAGCTATACAGTATCAAAAGTTTAAAACAAAAATTTCTATATTCAATTAACTGTATAGAGAAATTTTTTGTTTTTTCTATTGTTTATTAAAAAATATATATATTTAAATATTTTTATTGAAAATACGTAAAATAATTTACAAAATGTTATTTATAATAAAGTAGTTAGGAACAAAATTTTGTTTAGATCAAGGAAGTTACTTGTAGTTAATAAATTTCTGCACGCGATTTACTAGGTTTATTCAGTTAAATTTTCAAAAATTCAAAATGGCGGATCCAATATGGCGTCGATTTTGAAAAATCGTTCAAAATTCATTGAAAATTGTTACTCGGGGGTTTTTGGGGGTCACTGATTTCGAATTTAGAGTCAATTTTTCAAAATTCAAAATAGAGAATCGAAAATGGCGTTCAATTTTAAAAATCGTTTAGATTTACTTGAAATTTATTTCTCAAGGGGTTTTCGGGGTCACTAATTTCGAATCCGAGGTTAGTTTCTCAAAATTCAAAATAGCAAATCTAAAGTCAATTTTTCAAAATTCAAAATGGCGGATCCAATATGGCATCGATTTTTAAAAATCATTATAAATTCTTTGAAACTTGTTACTCGGGAGGTTTCGAGGTCACTGATTCCGAATTTGAGGTCAGTTTTTCAAAGTTCAGAATGGCGGATCAAAATTTTAATATTTTTTTTATATTTTATTGGATTTAAATATGGTTTTATTATTATTATTATTATTATTATTATTAATATTATTATTATTATTGTTCCTATTATTATATTTATTAGAAATTAATTATTTTATTTAAATGAATATTAAATTTTTACTCGTTACCTGGATAAAAAATTTTCCTTTGACACTCTCTGCTTTAATATTTTGTGCCGCGCAATTTTTATTTCTCTCACTGCATAAAATATACTCGTTCTAAATATATATATATATATATATATATATATATATATATATATATATATTGTAAATAAAAAGTGCTCGGTAGCTTTTAAATAACCATTTCAGTAAAATATGAAGAAAATGTTTTACATTGATAACAAAAAAAAAAAAGTTGAGAAACGTTTATCCAGTAGAAAAAAAAGCGAAAGAGAAAAGAAGAGAGAGAGAGAGAGAGGGGGGGGGGAGAGAGAGTGAGAGAGCCGTTTAATTAAAATGAATGAAACTTTGTTCACTTACTGGAAATACGTTCTCTTTATATAAATTAAAAATAAATTTTTCAATTGAGGTTAAAAATATATTATTTAAGTATCAGAAAAAAAAAATTGTTGGAAAATATTTTTTAAATAAAAATTCATTTTTTATATAGAATTTTTACATCAGTTAATTAATATACATCAACTTTTATCTGCTCTTTTCAAAAAAATACATTTTCAATATTGAAAAATTAATTTCTTAACAACTGATTTTTTAATCGTTTTAAATTTATAGTGTTATTAATTTTGATGATAATATATAATAATTAATTGAATGAATTAAGCAGTTTATAAAATTAATTAATTGTAATTAAAATAATTGAATTAAGTAATTATATAGTCAAAACAATAAAACTCACTAATTTTTATATATATTTAAAATAATAAAATTCACTGATTACAGTTAAAACACTAAGATTAACTAATTATACAATTTAAAATAATTAAATTAAATAATTACAAATGAAAATATTTGAAATTAATTAAAATTAAATTAATTATTGTAATGACCCACTTGGAAAAATTCCCCGGAAAGTGCCTCCTGTAGGTTCTATCAGAATTCCGCCGTAACTTCCAACGTAATTCCGTCGAAATTCCATCGGAGTTCCAAAGAATTTCCGATCGGATTCCGACGGAATTCCGATTAATTTTTTTCAAAAATTTTGGAGTCTTAATTCCGTCGGAATCCCATCGGAAATTCTTTGGAACTCCGATGGAATTCCGACGGAATTACGGTGGAAGTTCCGGCGGAATTCTGATAGAACCTCCAGGGGGCACATAATAATAATAATAATAATAATAATAATAATAATATTCTATCACGCAACATTTTAAAGAGAAAATTTCTTGCAAGAAAAAAAGAGAGAAAAAAAATCGTTATAAAAAAAAAAAAAATAATGTCTCCTTGCAGATGAGACATACATTTGAGGAGTGTCTTGACGAGCGATGGCATTCTCGTCAATTGGTCCCAAGAAATGGGTACGAGTGTTTATCTGTCTGTCCGTCTGATCGTGTTCGTCTGTCAGTTAAGCGTTGTTGAACTAACACGAGCTGAACTGGCTGAACTTTGTTGGCTAACACGAGCTTGCAAGCGACACCTCTTTACCATATTATCCTCCCTCTCTCTCTCTCTCCACCCACCCTTTCATCTTCTTCGTCCTCTCTCTCTCACTCTAATTACTCCTTTCCCCCCCCCTTTCCCTCTCTCTCACTCACTCTCTTTGGACCTTTTCCCCTCACCCTCTAAACTCTTTTTTTTTTTCTTTCGCTACATTTCACAAAGTGGCTTTTGCTCCAAGAGATAAACGTGACATGACCTCTAACTTATTCTTCCCATTAGGGAGACAGCTAATTAATATGATGATGAGGCTTTCGACATTTGACAGTTTATGCGTGTAGGAAGGGGTGGGATAATATTTGCCTATTCACAAATTAAGGCCATATTGTGTTTATATAGTAGTGGTACACAGTCAAATTATAATTATTATCATTTTCAATTACTTTTTCCCAGATAGTAAATTTTGTTTTTATTTTTTTTAATTAAAATTTAATTAATTTTCTTTAATTATATCAAAATAATTGGGTTATTAGAATAACACAAACGGATAAGTTAAAATTAAGAAATTTAATTTACAACGTTAAATCATTTTTATTATTAATGTCCATTTTACCCCGTTAGGTCAGGATTTTGACATAACCTCAAAAAAATTTTCACAGGAACACAGAAAGGAGAAAAATAATCCAATCATAGGATTCAGAGTATATTCATTGTGTTTTTTTGAGCCACTGAAACCAAATTCGTTGTTCATTTTACCCCATCGTGTCAGAATTTTGACATAACCCGGAAAAAAAATTTTACAAGAGCACAAGAAATAGAAAATTAACCCAATTTTTGGATTCAAATTATGTTTATTATATACTTTTAGGGATCTCTGAAATCGAATACACTGTCGATTTTACCCCGACACCTCAGAATTTTTATATAACCTCAAAAAACTTTTACAGAAACACAAAAAATAGCAAAAAAAATTTAACCCTGGGATTCAAATAATGTTTATTATACGTTATTAGAGTAGCTTAAACTAAATATGCTGTTCATTTTGGCCCAAACTGTTAGGACTTTGACATAACCTAAAAAACCTTCACGAAAACACAAATAATGAAAGAATAATACTAACCTGGGATTTAGACCACGTTTATTGTACGTCACTCAATTCGAATCCGTTGTTCATTTTACCCCATGAGGTCAGGATTTTGACATAACCTCAAAAATTCTTTACAGGAATTAAAAAAAATAGAAAAATTATATATTTCTATGCTTAAGATCATGTTTATTATACGTTTTTGGGATTTCTGAAACCGAATCCATTGTCCATTTTACCCCATCGCGCCAAAATTTTGACATAACCTCAAAACACCTTCACTCGAAGAGAAAAAATGGAAAAATAATTCAATCTTAGGATTCATATAATGTTTATTATACATTCTTAGAGTAGATCAAACCAAATTCGCTGTCCATTTTACCCCGCCAGGTCAAAATATTTACATAACCTAAAAAATCTTCACAGGAACACAAATAGTAATAGAATGATACAACCCTGGGATTCACACCATGTTTATTGTACGTCATTGGTGTCACTCAATTCGAATCCGTTGTTTATTTTACCCCATTAGGTTAGGATTTTGACATAACCTCAAAAACCCTTTACAGGAATTAAAAAAAATAGGAAAATTATACATTTCTATGCTTAAGATCATGTTCATTATACGTTTTTGGGATTTCTGAAACCGAATTCGTTGTCCATTTTACACCATCGCGCCAAAATTTTGACATAACCTCAAAACACCTTCACTCGAACAGAAAAAATGGAAAAATAATTCAATCCTTGGATTCATATAATGTGTATTATACGTTCTTGGAATCTCGGAAATTGAATACTTTTTTTACCCCATCACGACTAGATTTTCACATAACCTCAAAAAACCTTTGTAGGAAAATAAAACATAATTCAAACCTGGGATCTAGACCATGTTTACTACATGTTTTAAAATATGGTTTGTTTAAAATTTATGTTTTGGGGCCAGAAAATAAAATGGTTATTAGGTTATGTTAAACTTCAAATCCAGATGCAATGGGGTATTATGGACAGCGGATTCTGTTTCAGCAATACCAAAAACGTATAATAAATATATTCTCAATCCCATTGAATTACTTTAATTTTTTTATTTTCGTGTGAATTTTTTTGAGGTTATGTTAAAATGTTAACAAACCATTTGTTTTGTTCCGATATTTTAAGAAATTTATTTTGATTACAGTAAGAGTAATTAAAAGCCATTTAACATTGAAAATTAAATTTGTTAATTGTAGCTAATCGGTTTAAGAAATTTTATCCCAATTATTTTATATTTCGATTTTTTATTGAATTGTGAAAATTTAATTTTTCTAATTTTAAAAAACCATTGAAATTTAATTACAAAATTTGTTCTCAAGAAATGTATATATATGAGAATTTTGATTGTAGCGCCCTGACGCATTCGCCCTCTGGAGGGACGCCATGTAAACTAAATATCTGATTCTCGGAACTATGAATTCGTTTCACTCATTTACTTTTACTGCTTATTATTATTATTAAATATTAATTACTAATTAATATTAATTAAATTTTTATCGCTTCCTCCTAAAGGAAGTATTTTTATTTTGTAAATAAACTATTAATTTTTAACAAAAAAGCATTTTTAAGAAGCATTAATAAAACTGCAATATTTTTTTTTCCTTGCATTAAATTAATATAATTCCATTTTTTTCTAATGTTAATTATTCATCTTTTTTTTTAGGAGATCATCCGGAGACAGATGAGGAGAGTGAATTAAATGCAAGAAATCAATTGAATAATCATCATAATCATCACAATCATCATCATAATCATCATCATAATCCTCGTCGTCGATTCACTGCCGAGAGATTTGCAACTGAAGACAGTAAATTTGTACCAAGTGATGATGAATTTGCTGAAGATGAACTCTCAGTTGGTGAACCTTCAGAAGCAAAAATGTTGACCCTAAATGGACCAGCATGGGGAACATGTCCTGTTGGTGGCAGGTTTCCAAGGGAACGAAGGGGTAAAAGTCCAAGGAGTTTAGACAGACGTAAAAAGGATAAAAATCATGATTTAGGCGAATTCCACGAAGGAATGCTTCACCTACTTCCATATTTCCCTAGTGTTGCAGGTAATATTTTACATTTTAAATTCATTTTTTTAACTTCATACAAAAAAAATTCATTTTTTCGCAAATTATTTAAAGAAAGGGTTTTTTAAATTTCGCGCCATTCTTTTTTGTTTTGTCTTACACGGTTGGTACTTGTACTTATGTCAATGCACAAGATTACTAACCTAAAAAAAAAAATTTATTATCGTAAATCAATTTTTAAGAACGATAATATTGACTGAATTTGAAAATTTAATTTAATAATTATTTAATTAAATATAAGTGAATTTACATTATATATATATAATGGGAACGAGGAGAAAAGAGTTGAGAAAAAAAAAAGATCAATGTTATAATCAATATAATTGGCCACCGCAAGTTCCAATACACTCTTTTCTCTATTCTATTTCCTTTGGAAATCATGGACCGTGCTTTTTCTGATCTTTCCTCTTGAAAGATGCTTCTAAGAGAACATGTATGGTTGAGTGACCTCGTTAGAGGGACAGTTTTGTCTGTATGGACCCTCGATGCTTTGAGATTCAATTACTTCCTGAGTTCTCAGAGGTCAAGAATATATATTTCTCAAGCTATATATATATATATCGATTTAACGAACTTTTCTGTCGTAAATATTTTTTTTTTCAAAAATTTATTTGTTTTAAAATTAATTAATCTATAATACTTTGTTTCGTTCAATCAAAATCAGTTTTCATTATTATTCTAGTTTCGAGATATTCATTCGACCTTTTTCCGTTAATGTTTTTTTTTATGTATTTGCGTTTTAAAAATTAATTTTGAGCTACATGTTCTACAAAAAGTGAGGTTATGACATTTGATACGTTTGCGACAATTTGTTACATATATTACATAAAAAGCCTTATATTGCTTTAACGAATAAAAGTGTACAGCAACTCAAACATTTTTTTTTTGAGGTTAACTTTACAATACACAAAATTACGACCAAATAGTAATCATCGAACCTGCAAAAAAGAAAATATTAAAATAAACTGTTAAAGGAGCAAGCAATTTTTTTTAATATTATTAACATATCATTGCGGACTTAACTCGTTTATAGAAGTTGATATATTTTAATTTCTTAAATACACATGCTTCATCGTGGTAAACTGACACGATCGACTATGATACACCCTAGCGAGAAGTTCGCGAAGCTTGAACATCCGAGGTTGGTTTCTACTGTCCCCATTCGTCAAAATAGGCCTAAGCAGAATGAAATCTCTAATCGTAAATCTTAAGCTTTTACATGAGAGAGAAAAGAACAAAAGATATTTCTATCCTTTTCTCTCTCATGTAAAAGCTTAAGATTTACGATTAGAGATATCATTCTGCTTAGGCCTAATTCCCACTTATCGTTTGTCATAATTCTTGTCAACTACCGCACTCTGCTCTAGTAAAAATTTAGTAACTTTATTGTTAAAATTAAAAGTTACTATATTTTCACTAGAGCAGGGTGCGGTAGTTGACGAGAATTATGACAAATGAAGATTGAGGACAATGGCAACCAACCGTTTTCGATTTATATGCAATTAATTTTTTTTTTCTCTTTAAAATTTATTGAATAATTATTTTTTTCTTTAAGGTGTCGCTGGAGTGCGAACGAGCAACAACAACAATAACAACAACAGTAATAATAGTAGTAGTAGTCAACGACAACAATCCGTCCCGTCTGTGGCTCATAGGCTACCATATTTTGTGCCACCAATGCCTGCAGCTCAATCACAGCTCAGAGTCAATAAGGAAAATCCATACGAAAGTGTTCCTGTATTGGGTCCATTACAACATTATTCAAGTCAGGGAAGAAGCAATAATAAAGATAAATCATCAAATTGGAAACAGGCCAATAAATATTCATCGCAATATGGAACCGATTATTTTGGTCTTCATCATCAAACACAAGAAAATTCACATCCAGTCTATACACAAGTTGCCGAATATACCGATACATATTCACAGCCAACTGATAGGCTCTACAACGAAGATAAATATTCACAACCCGTTTATTATACAGCAAGAGATCCCGATCAAGTTTCATCGGGTGGTCGATTATATCAGGGACAACCTGATTCGAGTTTTGGTAGTGACAGTGGTTATAGTCATCATACTTCCGGTACAACTGGAACCACAGGAACACGTGGCAGTACCTCAAAAACAAATCATCGTAAAGATAAACATAGAAATTCTCATCATTCACATCATTCCGCGGATTATATTGTCTCTTAAGAATTTCCAATGAGAAAAAAAAGGAAAGGGAATTTTTATTTTGGAAAAAAATGTAAATGATTTATCTAGCTAAGGGAAAAAATGTATGAAAAATGCAATTTCAAGTTCTTGGTGATTTTTGTTTTATAAACTGATACTCATTAGGCCTAAGCAGAATGAAATCTCTAATCGTAAATCTTAAGCTTTTACATGAGAGAGAAAAGGACAAAAAGATATTTCTATCCTTTACTCTCTCATGTAAAAGCTTAAGATTTACGATTAGAGATTTCATTCTGCTTAGGCCTATTAACAATTTACCAATTGTGGAATCAGCCTTAATTGATAAGGCCTGAAATCAGGGCTACCAACGCAACTGTAAACCAAATTATGATTTGTAGTTACGTTGATATCCCTGACTTCATGCCTCGGAAAGTAAGCCGCCTAATTTTTTTTTACGATAAAAATAACGGTTTTTGCGATATGTTAAAAAAACAAAACAAATTTCAATAATTATTTGTCGATAAATTTCATCGATATAATTATTTTCTAAATTATCATGCAATGAGCTCTAACCATAGAATTCTAATGGCATCTAATAAATATCGCATTGCCGGTAAAGTCAAAAATGACTTCATATAATTAAAAATACATAACCTCAAAAAACTGTGCAATGAAAATCATAAAAACATTTTCACACATTTAGGGTAAATGCACTAATTACGGCGCGATTCGAACCTTTGAAATAGAAAATTCGACATTTCTATTATATAAAGTCAATTTAAGACTTATTAAACTAAACGCTTATGTTATTTAGAAATTTAAAAAAAAATTAAACTTTATAAAAATCGATTATTTAAATAAATATGAGAAATTAAAATTAATATCATAATTTTCTATTACGGCGCGTTTGTATCAGTTTCGGTGTATCAATTACGGTGACCAAAATTACGTGTATTTTGAAGATAATTTACCCACCGTAATTGGAGCCAATCTTAAAAATGATTCAATTACGGCGAAAGAAAAAATTTGATCTCAAATAATTAAATTAATAATTGTTTAAATGTACATCTTTATTAGTAATTGTATCAAAAAAGATTAAAATAATTGTTTTTTAATCATTTTTGCAGCAGTTATATTAAATATAATAATAAGTTATTTTTTATGAACGCGCCGTAATTGGTGCACTTATCCTAGAAAAAAAATTTCAAAAATTATCAAGAACTCGAAGCATTTTTTTTCATTAGAGGAAAAATGTCATTTTTTTCTAAAAGCTCGTGCGGTTCCAAAGTAACTCTTTGCGGGCAATAATATGAAAATAATTCTTAGAAAAAAAAAATCGTCACTCATCAAATGACGTTTTTTTTTATAAAAAAAAAAACAAAAAAAAAAAACCAAATGGTGATCAGAAAAAAGTGATCTTTTAGTTTATAATAATCTTATAATATAGTAGTCTCTTTAAAGACTAAGTAAAAATTTTCCGCGAAAAAAAAAAATTCAATGAGACTCAGGCTCGAACCAAAGGTTGCTTAAATACTTTGTACGTAACTAATTTATCCGTAGGCTATTTAAGAAGTAAAAAAAAAAACGACAAAGCTCTGGAATGCACACTTGCCTCTTTCGTTTCTAATTTTTCCTCGCTTTGTCTTCCCAATGTTTTTTTTTTTTTTTTTTTTGCTACCCTCAAAGGGTTTTTTTTTCACCCCCCTCCTCGCCTCTCGGCACGAATTTTCTTTGTTCCAATTTTCTCCTGACGACAAAGCCGGAAAAGCTGGATTTTCTTCCCTTTCCTTTTTAATTTAAAATTTCACATCTCGTCAAGTGTTAAATACCACAAAGCCATTTAATTCAATTTTACAATTTTGTCCATCTTGGGAAAATTAGTAAAATCCTTTTTTTTAAAAAAAAAGAGATACATTAGTTTAATAATAATTAATTATTTATTCAAGTGTGCATTCTAAGAAGCCAATGAGGAAAAAGGAATGAAAAAAAAAACGAGAAAAATGAAAATGCGCGCGCGAGAGAAATGAGACTAGAAATATTTTGATACTTTTTGTATTGATTTTTCCAACAACTGTGTGTGAGGAAGGAAATTATTTTCGTTGATGCGGATTGAAAATGTTATTCTTGGAAAAATTTCTCGAAACGAATTTTCCTTCCTTTTTCTTTTTTCTTTTTTGTTGTCAGGAGAAAAAAGTCAGACCAAGAATAATTGGAACGAGCAAAAAAATAAAAAAAGAAAAAAAAATTGCTAATTTATATAATAGAAAAGCTCTTTATATATATAAAAACAAAAATTAGGAATAAGAAATTAAGAAAAAAAAAAAAAACATTATAAATACGCGGCCATGTACATATGAAAAATAATTTTTTCTCCCGTGTAGCATAGCTGTACCATATCGTTAAATAGTCAAAACTCGAGCGGAGCTTTGAGAAATTTAATATATAAAAACAAAAAAACACGATTTTTTAATTTATCAAAACTTGTAATTTTTAATGATGCGCTGTGTATATCGTTAGCGATATCGACGATAATAATTATTCTAATATATGAAAAAAAATAATATTCCCTTCACGGACGAGATTTGCATATATTTTATTTTACAAAAATAAAATTTTTGTAAAATATAATTTTAAAAAACTTTTCTTTTGGCAAAATTTATTATTTAATTTAAATTATTTTAATTTTAATTATTGAAAATTTCCCATTTTTTGTTTCATTTTTGTTTAAAATGGGGACAATTTTTGTAATATATTTCCAAATATTTTTTTTTCAAGTGGAAAAAAAAATGAGAAAACCAAAGTTTAGAATTTTTTAAAATTAAGAATCATTAAGAGAAAATAACAAAAATTTTGGAATTTTTTAAAAATTCTTTGTATAATTTCGTTAGCTTGACAGTTTTTTAAATTTAGTTCTAGAAGGGGCAAAGGAAAAAAGAAACTTCCAAATCTTATGTAAAATAATGGAAAAAATTCTTGGGGTTCTAAGAGCCTTTGAACAGACAATCAAATTTTTAAATTTTCTTCACAATTGAAAATTTTAATATTAATTTCAAAATTTTTAATAAAAAAAAATTTTTTTTAAATATAACGTACCGATAATACAAATTTTTATCTCCACAAAATTTTAATTGAATATTTTAATTACTAAAATTAAAATATCTTAATTGAATTTTAATTGATGATGAAAAAAAAGAAACGAAAACAATTGTGCAATTTCATAACATATTTTTAGAAGAAAAAAAAATGTAATTTTAAAATATGTGTTGAAATTTTTGAAAATTATGAAAATTATGAAAATTATCGAAATAATTTTTTTTTGGTATTTTTACAATAGAAATTTTGAAACGATTAATTTATTTTTAAATTTTTTTGCTAGTCTCGTCCTTGGATTCTAAAAAATCTCTCTAGACACGAGAAATATAGAGCGAATACCTCAGAAAGCCACGCTGTTGTAAATATAATTTTATAAAAATGCGCTTAGGGTATCGAAAGACTATTCGAAAATAATTTTGACTCGAAACTATAAAAATTTTACGTTCTTACAAAAAAAAAAAAAAATAATTACTTACAATTTTTGTACTTAAATCTTTTTTTTTTTTTTAATTTCCATTTAAATTCAAATTTAGATTTTTTAAATTTTCAAATATTTACGATTTGCAAAAGTTTCTCTTTATTAAATTGTAAATTTTGAATTCTTTTATTTAAAATCTAGTATTTTAGAATAATTTTGATTAAGTTTTTTTTTTGAATTCGAAATTAAAAATTAATTATTTGAATTTAAGATAAATTCTCAAAATTATATTGAATTTTTTGTTCATTTTAATTAAGATTTCGAAATTTAATTAAAATCTAATATTAAAAAATTTTTTATTCTTAATTTTTATAGAAAATTGAAATTTCATTTTAACGAAAATTAAAAACTTTAGTTCGTCACAATTAATTTTTAACTAAATGAATTTCCAAAAAATTGCAATTTTCTGAAAAACATCAATTAATTTTTAATTCTAATTTACTGTAAATTCAAACTAATTAATCAATTAAATTCTAATGAAATTAATTTCTAAATTTTCCACTTTAATTTAAAATGACAAAAATTTATTTTCATTAAATTCCAAATTAAATTGAATTATAAATTTCATTTTAATTGAATTGTAAATTTTATTTTAATTGAATTACAAATTTCATTTCAATTGAATTGTTAATTTCCTTTTGATCAAATTACAAATTTTTCATTCAATTCAAAAAATTCAAAAATTTATTTTCCAATTAAAAAAAGTGAATTACAAATCAAACTTAAATTTTCCACGTAAAATTTTGAATTATAAACCAAAAAAAAAAATTGTATATAAAAAAATCAAAAAAAAAAAAAATATTTTTTCTATATTGTAATGGGGAAACTAAAATGTATACTTTTCAATAATAATAATAATTCTTTCCTATGACAATTGGAGAAATAAAAATTATTATTATTATTGCCTCGAGTTAAAATTATTTTCTCTCTAAACGAAAAAAAAAAAATTCAGGAGAATGTGTACTTATCAGACAAAAAAAAAAAAAAAAAAAAAAAAAACAAATTGTTAGAAAAAGAAATAATGAAGAATAAAAAAAAATAAAAATGCAATTGTACGATCACTGTAAGATCATAAAAATTTATGCATACAATCAAAGAATGCACGAAGACACGACTGCGAAATGAACGAGAGAGAGAAAGTTTACGAGAGTTAATAAATGCGAGTAAACGATGAAAAAAAAAAAATGAAAAATTGAGTGAGAGACATAAAAAAAATGAGTGCGTGCAACACAACGCTTTTGTACCATTTTTGCGTCCATGTTAGTCAAAACCTGCGAGATCGTTTTTTACATGTAAACTATTATTATGTGAATTATTATAATTATTATTATTATTATTATCATAGTAAACGCGATCTTCAGTTATTGTTTTTAGGTTTTTATTTAATCAATATAATTTCTCGATTGAAATTCCCACGGAATTCTCTTGATTGCAAATTATTATTATTATTATTATATTATTATTATTATCATTGTTATTAGTCATTTTAAAAAATCGACTTTTCATTCTCTAATCGCTTTCACACTTTTTGCGTCCTTGACGCCTAAGTCAAAAAAAAAAAAAAAAAGTAACGTTCGCGTAAGAACTAGTCATTTTTTCATTGGAAAAAATTAGCGTCTTTATTATTATTTTGCTTTTAAAGCAAAAAGTCGCTCGCAATTAAATTATTAATTAATTAATATTAATAATAATTGATTATACGTGAATTTTGTTAATATTTCAAGTTTTTGAAAAATAATAAAACACAATTTCAACGAGATATTTCTAATTTATTTAATTGTTTATTATTTTATAATTACGTAATAAGAATAATTAATTACTTAGTAATTAATTATAAATTACCTACGTACTCTATTTAATTAATTATGATAAATAAAAAGTAAATCAATTTTTAAAAATACAATTTCAAGGATTTGTAAATAAATTAATTTCAAAATTAAAAATAATTATTGAATAATTAATAAATTTATAATTGATTCATTAATAAGTCATTTATCTATTAATAATAAATTTATTCATATAATTATTTTAAAAAATTTTGACATTTTGGAACAGGAAAAAAAAAGTTAAACAGAAACGTTTAAAAAAATATCGTACATATAATTTATATTTCGTGTTCCAAAATGGCAAAATTTATTAAAAATATTTATTTATTGATCGGGACAAAATACCGTTGAATATTAATTTGTTCATTAATTTATAAAATTACTGAATTAATGAAATTATTAATATATTAATTAATTCAGTAATTATTTATTTATAAATTAATTAATATAGTAATTATCAATTAATTGATTAATTAATTATTAAAGAATAAATTAATATTCAACGGTGTTTTTTCCCAATCAATAAATAATTATTTTAATTAATTTTGGAATTTTGGAACAGGATACAAAAATATTTGTACGATATCTTTTAACGTTACCGTTTAACATTTTTTTTCCTGTTCCAAAATAATTTATTAAAATAATTATGAATAAATAAATAATTAATTCAGTAATTATCAATTAATTAAATTATTAATTAATTATTAAAGAATCAATTAATTGATAATTATTTTAATTATGAAAATAATTAAATAATTTAATAAATTAATTAATAATTGATTCTTTCATTAATTTAGAATTCGATATAAAATTCGCAGCGAAATTTTGAAAATTTTTTTTTGTTTTCCTCTTTAAATATACAAAGAATGTATTTTGATTTTTTAATTAAATCACCATCAATTTTATATTTAATTAAAATTAATATTATTTGTAAAAAAAAAATTCATTAATCAAAATAATTTTTTTTTCTAAATTTTAAAAGTCATATATTATTTTACTCGCGTATATATATATATATAAAAAAAATTCCTACGCGAACGTTACTGACCTTGTATACGTATGCGAGAATATTTAATATTGTCTCTTATTATAATTGAAAAGTTATTTTTTATTGTTGTTGCGTTGAGAGGCGCGAAAACCGCTAATTTAGCGCCGACTTTTTTATAGCGTTAGAAGAAAGAATAAAAAAAAAAAAAATTTGACACAATAGTAAATAGGCACTAGAGTACCTCGATAAAAGAAAGCAGTAGCACTCTTGAAAGTTAGCTTGCACGGGTGTTCTTCTTTGCCATTGCTCTCCTCACCCCTTTTTGGGAAATTAATTACGCCAAGGGAGAACAGTAATTTTCTTTTTTTGGTGACATACGGAATCTTTGAAGTAAAAAAAAAAAAAAAACATTTTTCTTTCACTCACGACTAAAAAAAAAAAAAAAACTCGCTTTCGAATTATCCTTTCACTGCGAATGATTCTTTTATGACAAAATTTAATCCCCTTAATGTATAACATTTACAAAAAAAGAGAATCTTATTATGACGATTGCTCAGGATTTTTATTATATTTTTTACGTATACACACTGAAAATACTCTTTCAAAATATTTTCAAAGGCGAGAAATTTTAATGATTCAAATTTTTATAAAATAAAGAAATTGGAGATTTTTATATTTGAAAGAAAATGTTTTCTTTTTTTTTTTTTTTTTTCTTTTAAAATTTGAGCGATGGAAAAGAAGAGTGTCAGCTCGCAGAACAGGGTAACTAGTTCTAACATCTATCTCTAGATCACCAAAACTTCTAAAGAAAAAAAAAAAAAAAAAAATTCACACTCGTCCACCTAACAGTTTCACTTTATTCACGAATCACCTTAAAAAAAAGCTAATTTGAAACACTATCACAACTTCGTACTAATAAACGATTTACTATTCAATTTCATTATGAGTCTTTATCATTTAATTACCTACAAAAATATCCTAATTTTAATTTTAAAAAAATTTTTTTAAATAATTTTTAATTTTTTTTAAAAATATTTTTAAATTATTCGATAATAATTTTAAATAATTAGATTAGTTTCGGCCCATGAAGATGAAATTGATAATAAATTCAGTCAATAAAAACAAAATTAAAACTCCTTCTACTCACAGAAGGCTGAAAATTTAATTCACAATTTTTAAATAGATGTGGTGAATATAACTAAGTAATAAAATGAGAAAAATTTAGTTTTAACCACTGAAAACGAGATACAAAATTTAGACAAAAAAACAAAATTAAAACTCTATCTTGTCACAGAATGTTAGGATTTTAAATCGTATCCTTTTGAAAATAAGATGGAGAATAAATTTAACTAATTAAATCAATGATTATTAGTTTTAGTCACTGAAGATGATAAGGAAAATAAATAAAACCAATAGAAACTAGATTAAAACTCCACCTACTCACAAAAGGCTGGTATTTAAATTCACAAGCTTCAAAAACAAAACGAGGAATTAAATCAACTAATTGTATCAATAAAAATTAGTTTTATCCACTGAATATAAAATGGTGAATAAATTCAGCCAATAAAAACAATGTTAAAACTTCATCTTTTCACAGAAGGCTCGGTAGTTAATCAAAAACAATATGGAAAAAAATTTAACCGATTAATGATTAGTTTTAGCCACTGAAGATGAGAAGTACAATTAATGTAGTCATTAAAAAAAAGATTAAAACTCTACCTACTCACAGAAGGTTCTGATTTGAAATTTTAGTCATTATGGAGGAGAATAGAATTTACAAATGAAAGCAATGTTGATAAATTTTAGCTCTGTGAGACAAAATGGAGGATGGATTTAACAATGTAAAGAAATATTTAAACCATTCCTACTCACAGAAAGCTAGAAATTTAATTTACACCAATCAAATACAATGTAGAAAATAGCTTCAACCAATTGAATCAATAGAATGAAATTTTTTTTTCAATTTTTAGTCACTAAAAATAAAATGGAGAAAAGATACAACCAATAAAAGCAAGATTAAAACTCCTCCTAATTACAGAAAACTTGGATTTTAATTCATAACATTTAAAAATTGAGAACAAATTTAGTCAATGATAACAGTAATAGCTAGTTATAGAACTATACAAAGAGAAAGAGAATATACAAAGGGAGTAAAAAAAAGATAAAAACTCTATCTACACACAGAAGGTAGAGATTTTAATTTATATCCCCCCTAAAGATAAGATCAAAAATAATTTACCTTAGAAAAGGGAGCAATCTTTTAAAAGGAAGAAGTGTAGATTAGACTCAGCTAAAAGCATAGAAACTTTACCTACTCACAGAAGGCAAAGATTTTAAATTATAAAATGAGGAATATTTTAATACAGTAAACAGAGTAATGACTGATTCTAGTCCCTGAAGGAAAGGTAGAGATTAGATTCAGCTAAAAAAACAGAAACTCTACCTACTCACAGAAAGCTTAAATTTTAAATTATAACCCTACAAGGAAGATTATTTTAAGCCAGTAAACGCAGTCTTAGCTCCTCAAAAAGAAGTGGAAATTAGATTCAGTTAAAAAAAACAAAGAAACTCCACCTACTTACCGAAGGCAGGGATTTTTAGTAACAGTCCAAAAGACAAGATAAATATTATTTTAAGCCAGTAAACGGATTAATCCGTCACGAGGATTATTAGTCACGAGGAGGATAAGGCTTTCTACAAAAGGGAATATTAAACTTAGCTAACAAAAACAAAATTTAAACTCTACCTACTCACAGAAATTAAGACCTCTATTAAAAACCCACAAAGAAAAAATGGAAAATAAAATTTGCTCTTGAAATCAATAGTGAAAAATACTATCATCTAAAAGAGAAAATGTTGTGTAGGCTAAATTAATAAAAAGAGTATTCAAACTCCTCCTACTCACAGTTGGCAAGGATTTTAATTTATGAACATGAAAAACAAGATGTATAATAGATTTAACTATTCTAAGTAACAATAAGTTACAATTTCAGAATAAAAACATTTCCCTGTCATATATGAAGACAATGATTCTAAATCCTTGTCTTCTGTGAGAAGGTCGAGTTCGAAACTTGTTTTCATTGAATCATTCTGTTTTTACAACTACATACTTTTCACTATTCCCTTCATAGAAAGATCGTTTCCTGTCTTCGAGGGCTATTGAATAAAAAATCTTGCCTTCTGTGAATAGGTAGAGTTTCAATTTTGTGTTCATTGGTTAAATTGGTTTTTCTTGTATTGAAGACTGGAACGATTTACAGTCAATTTTCTTAGCTTTTTCTTTTCTTCTTCTACACCTTTTGTGTTGTGTGTCTGCGAACTGCTTTCTGTGAGTAGGTGGAGTTTTTATGTTCTTATCTGAATTCAATCTCCATTTTTATGAAGAAACTAGGACTAGTCATCACTGGCTTAAAATATTTTTTATCTTGTTTTTGGGTCTATTACTAAAAATTTCTTCCTTCTGTGAGTAGGTGGAGTTCCTAATGTTTTTTGGCTAAATCTTATATTCTCCTTTTTTTAAGGGAGTAGGATTTGTCATTGCTTCTGCGATTTAAATAGTCCGTGGGGCTATAAATTAAAATATCTGCCTTCTATGAATAGGTGGAGTTTTTATATTTTTCGCTAAAAATATTTACTTTTTACTTTTTTTACTCTAGTACTAGTAATTACTGCGTTCACTAACTTAAAATATTCTTCGTCTCGTCTTTGGAACTATAATTTAATAATTCTGCCTTTCGTGAGTAGGTGGAGTTTCTATATTTTTTGCTGAATTTTATCTCCATCTTTTCTTGAAGAACAAGGACGAGTCATTGGCTTTAAATATTTTTTATCTTGCCTTTGAGGCTGTAACTAAAAATCCTTGCCTTCTGTGAGTAGGTTGAGTTACGATGCTTTTTTTGCTGAATCTAATCTCTACATTTTCTTGAGAATCTAGGACTAATAATTACTGCTTTCACTAGCTGAAAATATTCTTCATCTTATCTTTGGTGTTATAAAATAAAATATTATCTACCTTTTGTGAGTAGGTCGAGTTTCTGTATTTTTTATCTAAATCTAATCTCTACCTGTTTTTGAGGGGTTACGATTATTATGGATTTAAACATTTAGGGGGCTTTAATTAAAATTTTCTGCCTTCTCTGAATAGGAGAAGTTTCTGTTTTTTTTAGCTAAATAGTTTTTTTTTAAATTACTAATACTAAATATTGTATATTAATACGATGATTACCATGTGTATAACAATGTTATCAACTAAAATTTTAGACAGTTTTCCACCATTACGTTTATTATAGATAGAAAATACTGTGACATGTATATATCGCGAAACCACTCTAATTGCTTTCTCGTTTATTATTCCATTAAGTACTTTAGTCTCCACGTGGCAGTGTCAAGTTATGTGTTCTCTACATAATTTAGTGGGTTGAATGTAGATTTAACTTGAATTCAGAAACCGGCACATATCATGAAAATACATTTACTAAACTGCATGTGTGTATACTCTCAGAAACAACATAGAAATTTGCCTTGGGGGTGTTACTTCGCCTCGTTATCACGTGAACAAAATACGTCCTTATACCCCTCGTTTCCTGAATAAATGAAAGCTTCTTGTATTCTCGTTTAGAACCAAAATCAGCTCACCAGAAGATTGTCTGCAGGTGTGGTGAGTGAATTATATTTATGAAACCCCAAAAAGGAAATTTATTAATATCGGAACTTAAAAACTTTATAATCTTAATTAATAGACAAATAAAAATATTTCAATGACAAATTAGTACTAAGAAAAACTAAATATTTGAAAAGATTTCTTATTTTTAAATGGACACAAAATTTCAAGAATCAAATTTTTATTCATTCTTGAATTTTTAGGTTAATGTAAAATTTAGATTCGATATAATTGAATTCATTGATTTACAAATTAAAATAAATTTATCGTGAATGGAACCCTAGGTGAGTGATTGTAACTCGCAACTGACCAATTTTTTAACTTAATTATTATTTTATTCATCATTAATATAAAACAAACCTTTAATTTTTATCATTGAATCCTTTAGTTGAGAAAATATTTTACAATATTGTAATATTTTACACATTTTTTTTTGAATTGTTTAGTTGATAAAACATCTTGCAGCTAAATAAAGCACTAGTGCCCAAATTTTTTCTTTTTTAAGAGGAGAAATATGACTTCCGAATCCCCTTGGCATGCTAATGACATCACCTGGAATGGCAAAAATGTAGTTAAACAAGAAAGAGATAAAATAAAACATGTAAATATCGAATATTTTTCACTTTTGATATTTTATTAATTGAGATTTTCAAAAAAAAGGCAAAATAATTGAGATAAAACGTAGCTTACTCGATGAAATCACAATAAAGAATGATTAAAAAAAGACGTTGTTTGTTTGTCTCGTAGGAGATTTCGTTGCCAACTAAAAAAAATGAACGTCTCTAAAAAATCGAATTCGACGATCGGTAAAAAAGTTTTCTCATATATCATAATACCGATTGGTCCAAATTAAAAAGGTGCGAAATTTCAAATGGTAATGAAAAAGATTTTTATAAAATCATATTATTTTCTTGAATAAAATAGTGTTACTTCTTCTAGATTAACAACTGAATAAAAAATCCGACGCAAGATGGTAAATATTTAGAGTTCTCAAATATAAAAAATTTATTGAACTGGGAATTAATATTGAAATTTCCAACAACACAAACTTTTTTACAATTCGTAGAAAACATTCTTGTTGCAATCATTTAAAAATAAACAACGAAAAATATCATTGTAAAAATCAGGATAATATTCACAAGCTCTTTGACAATCAGGTTGAAAATTAAATTCCAATAATACGGGTTGCATTTCATTTTCCCTCCATTCTAACATCATATCAACAGCGTAAACAGCTCGACTTTGTGATGATTCTGCAATTCCTCTTGGAGGTTCCATCGATGTTGCAGCTTCAAAAACATCTTTTAACATTTTCAATATCATTGGCTCAACTTTTGTTGTCCAAGGATAATTAGGATATTGATTTTCCCATTTAATGATAAAATCAGCGCATTTAATATGACAAAGTGGCGTTTTTGTTGAATAATTCATAACTGTAAAATGTTGTTCGTAGTCTTGGAAATTATTGAGAGCAAATGGTTTATTTGCAAATCTTAAGAAGAAATTTGAATATGCAAAACATTCCAATGGATTGACGGATTTCAATAGAACCACATATCTGTAAAGATTATTTGTAATTAAATTATAATGACAAAAAAATTATTAAACTAATAAGCAAAAGTAGAAACAAAATTACTAAATTCAATAAAATATAATCACCTAATGTCAAATTTAACTTTTCCAATTTCCATTCGATCAAAAAGAACTGGATTGGTAATATATTTCTGTGCAATTTTTGGTCCAGTTGCTGGCAATCTTAAAATATGAAAAAGATCCTTTGTTACATAAGTATCTAATCCTCTTGCTAAATTCCATGGTTTACAAATCCAATGATTCTCCAATTGTTTTGCCTCTCTATTCTGATAATATGCCACAAATTTAACTAGCTCGGTACTTAAATTAAAAGTCGTTGGCAACCATTTTGGAAATGTTTCCAATGTCTCCTTATTGTATTGTCCTTCGGCTTTTCTTCTACAAACTATTGACAATAGATCCTTAATTGTCAATACAAATTCAAAAGGAAATTGATTTAAAAATAAATGTGGCCTCTCAACACTAAGTTCGCGATAATTTTTTATATGTCCTAATAGCCAAAGTACATTGGCTTCCTCTTCATTGTCAACAATTTCAAATGATGGATCATTTAAAAATTTACAAACAATATCATACTCTGAATAAACTTTTAGCTTATTATGAGAAATATTTTCAATTATTTTCTCTGGTAATGTTTCAGCAATACGTGAACTTAAAAAATAATTTTCGTCTGGTTCAGTTTGTTCGAAATTTTCCTCAAGAAAATTATCATCTCTCCACGGTAAAAGAAGTGCTCTATGTTTATCAGCATCATTTGTTTGACCCTCAATGAAATTTCTTGTAACTTCATCGCCGGATTTAACATTTTTTATTGGAAATAAAAGTGTGTAATTCATATTTTCTGATGCATGATAAAATGGAACAATACGAAAATTTGGTTCATCACTGTGATTTATTGATGATCCAACTTCATCCATAATACACCAAAATGGCATTGCATCTTCGATTTTTGTTGAATTTGTATGTAATGTAAAAAAATTATTGTATCTCCACATTTCAGTGAGGATAAATTCAATTTTTTCCTCATCACTTTCAGTTTTTGACCATTCGGGTTTCATGAAATTGTACATACGTTCTAAAAGTCCAGGATTTTCACGAAGATCATTCATTGCATCGGAATAACGATAAGTCCAAGCGTGATCAATTAAATAAATGTTATTTGGTTCTTGGAATAAAATTCCATTTTCGAGTGTGACAAAAAGTTTCCAAAATGGATCAGTGGGACAACGTTCATCATCCTCATAACTAATTCTAGCCAATTGAAAAGCATCACCAGCATCGAATATTTGATTTTTTAATTTCTCATGAATAGTTGACCAAAAGTATTTTGGCACACCGGAGGATTCAAGTTGTGGCTGATGAATTGTGAGAAATGATTTGAAATGTTCAGCTTCGTCCATTTTACCGACGACCTGAGAAATAAAATTATTTTTTATTTTTAACCAATAGATATAAGGATTTATATTTTTAATGGAATTCATCCCAAATCCGGGGTTAGAATTTAAATTGTTTGTTCGTTATTGTTTTCTAACCTCAAAAAATATATATATACTTTTACATTTTGTACCATGTAATCTGTTCCTTTGTGGGCTTTTTAGCCCTAGGAACGTTTAATAAATAAATAAATATACTTTTACATAAGAAACAAACTAATTTTATAATTCTAAGCAGAACTGGACGTAAATCCTTGGGGTTTGGGATATTAAAATAGTGACAAATAAGCTGGGGAAATTTAAAGCTCAAGATATAAAAGAAGAAAGGGAAACACAGAAAATTAAAAGGCATTAAAATAAGCTGCAACGCTTATTATTTTGAACCAATTTTGCTTATTTTAATCCATTTTGGTATTAAAATAAGCAAAATTGTATTAAAATAATAAGCGTTGCAGCTTATTTTAATGCCTTTTAATTTTCTGTGAATGTCAAACATTGTAGATACACTGTTTCCAACACATAAAAACAAAAAGAGAAAAATAATAAATATTCCAAATGAGGAAATAGAGTTATTTAGCGAGATGGAATTGAAAAGAGCAGTGAAAACCTTACGGATGAAGAAATCGCCTGGTCCAGACGGAATACCAGCGGAAGTACTCAAAGTAGTAGCGAACTTTCACCCGGGGTTCTTACTAAACATGTTTAACTGCTGTCTTAAGGAAGGCACTTTTCCAAGAAGATGGAAGACACAACGTCTGGTACTTATAAGCAAGGGGAAAGGACTCTGCTCCGACCCATCAGCATACAGACCACTCTGCATGTTAGACACGACTGGAAAATTGCTGGAGAAACTAATAAAACCACGTCTACAAGAAGCTATCAAATCAGCAGGAGGTCTTTCTAATCGACAATTTGGTTTTCGAAAAGGGTGTTCGACAATCGACGCTATACAGGAGGTGGTGATGTTAGCAAATCAAATTCGACAGAGAAGTCACTACTCAAGGTCTGTTGCCCTATTACTAACACTGGAAGTAATGAACGCATTCAATTCCGCTAACTGGAACGATATGTTGAATGCACTGGAACAGGATTTTCACATCCCTCAGTATCTTCTGCGTATCATCAATGACTACCTAAAAAACAGGGAATTAATTTATGACACAACAAACGGAGAAAAAAGTTAACGGCGGATGCTGCCCAGGGATCTGTTCTGGGCCCTGAACTCTGGAATGCATCATACGATGGAATATTGCGCCTGCAACTTCCAGAAATCGTGAAATTAATTGGATATACTGATGATGTAGTAGCACTGATACTTGCGAAAAATTTAAAACTGGCTCAATTAGACCTAACGCTTGTCATGCAACGCGTAAATATTTGGATGAAGAGCCACCATTTGAGTTTTGCCCTAAATAAATCAGAGGTGACAATCCTCACAACAAGGAGAATAGACACACATATCCCAATACAAATAGGATCTGAAAGCAGTCAGGCACAAAATGCAACTAAATACCTTGGCATTAAGATTGATACGAAACTGACATTTGCAGAACAGATAAGATGCGCAGCAATCAAAGCTTCAGAAACGACCACCAATCTGTGCAGACTCATGGCAAATGTAAGAGGTCCAAAACCGAGTAAAAGGAAAATACTACTTTCAGTAGCTGAATCCATTATGCTATATGGAGCAGAAATCTTCGCGGATTTGCTCAAGACGGATATATTCCGGAAACCCATGTTGGATGTCCAAATACAAGGAGCCCTGAGAATAACGTGCTCCTATAGAACAGTTTCTGGAGATGCAGCATTGATCATTGCTAGAGTAATCCCTATTGATTTACTGGCACAGGAACGTAAATTTATTTACCTAATGAAGGGTTATAATAATATAAACAAGATTAAAGCAGAAGCTCGAAATACATCCATACAGAAATGGCAGAACAGATGGAATATCAGCAAAAAAGGCAGATGGACAGCCAAATTAATCGAAAATCTTGAACCTTGGTATAAGCGGAAACACGGAGAGGTAAATTATTTCTATCTGACACAATTGCTAACAGAACATGGATATTTTCGCACATTTCCTGTACAAAATGCAAAAAATAGATAACGGCAAATGCAAATATTGTGAAAACAAAGATGACAATGTTACTTATACATTCTTTGAATGCCAGAGATGGCTAGATAGAAAACGAAGACCGGAAGACCAAGTAGAGGAAACTTGCTCCGTAAATACAATAATTAGCATTATGCTTAAATCGGAGGTAAACTGGGATTTAGTTGATTGTTTTGTAAAGGAGGTGCTAACAACAAAAAAAGCTGAAGACACGGATATGTGATGAAGTTTATTTTTTATATTTTATTGACAAACAATTTTATTATTTATTGATTTTAAAAACATGACGACAAATCCAAGTTGGTAGAAAAGAAGAGCCGAAGCACGGCTAAGAGTCGCCAGTGACTTCAACCCGTGAAGAAATGCGAAAGCGGATACCGGGGGTTAGTTGGTAGGCGTGAATGGGGGGTGTTTTAGTGAGGTAAGGGCGGCTGCAGAAAGCAGGATCGCTACAGTCCCACACAGTCCTATGATCAGGCAGTGCATAAAGCATTTCACCTCCTCCTCTCTCAAAAAAAAAAAATATTATTATTATTATTAATATACGCTTTTCCTATACTGAAAAAAGATTTTTAATTAAAAAAATCGGTTCAAATACAATTTATTTAATTCAATGCAGCGCCTTCTGTCAGCGCACATGAGAACTAGCCGATTATCGACTCAGGGACTTTCCCGAGCAACTGTATTTAAATAGCTCCGTGAATTTAGTACTACAACCATAAAATAACCATAAAATTTCTAATGGTATCGTTTGGAAATCGTTTGGTGATGATTGGAAACTAATTTTTGTTGTTTGGAACTTTGGAAATAAAAACTCAAAAAATTATAAGAGTTTTAAAAATTGTAGTGCTATTTTCACATTTGCACTACAAAATAAATATTTTTTAAAAATTCTTCTTGGAATCGTTTGGAAAATGTTTGGTGATGATTGGAAACCACTTTTTGTCCTTTGGAAATAATAACAGCAATAAATATTAAGGTGCTTATATACCTCAAATTTCGATCAGATGAACATTATTTCTGGACCGTGAGAATACGTGAAAAGTCATTTTCACGGCGGGTATTTTTGAATTGTTACAAACAAAAAATGTTTTTTTAAGAAATATAATATTAAATAATTGTTTTAATATGTAAGAACACTTTAAAATAGTGATAGAAAGATGATTTGATTGAAAAATTTAGCAAATTTTGCTTTAAAACGTTTTCTGATACAAGAAAGTGTAAAATGACGATGTTTGTGAAATGGTTTGTACAGTGTACATGTGTACATGTTTCTTTCAGTTATTCGAAACAATTAGTTGAATTTAAATTTATTTGATAAACATTTCAACTTACCGATTTATTTTCAGCACTCATTATTTATTACAAGTTAAAAAGAAACGACATAACATAAACAAAACTCTGAGAGACACTCACAAGGAAGAAGCACTGTACAAACCATTTCACAAACATCGTCATTTTACACTTTCTTGTAGCAGAAAATGTTTTAAAGCAAAATTTGCTAAATTTTTTAATCAAATCATCTCTCTATCACTATTTTAAAGTGTTCTTACATATTAAAACAATTATTTAATATTATATTTCTTAAAAAAACATTTTTTGTTTAAAACAATTCAAAAATACCCGCCGTGAAAATGACTTTTCACGCATTTTCACGGTCCAGAAATAATGTTCATCTGATCGAAATTTGAGGTATATAAGCACCTTTACAATTTCTAAAAAAATCTTCAGGCGGCGCACTACTTTCTGCACATTCAATAGTGGCGCGAAATTTGAAAGGTTGTAAAATTTTTTTTTGCTTTAATATTCTTACAATCATGAAATAAACATAATTTTTCTAATGGAATCGTTCGGACAGTAAGCTTGTAACGAAGCATTCGTTAGTTGGTTTTTCGTCTTGCTTTTCTATGTGGCATTCAAATTAAGTTGCTTTCGCGAAATCTATCGTAGGACTGATTTACGCAGGCGTGACGTGCGAACGTTCACGGGGGGCGGCGATTAGGGCCGAATGGTCATTTCGTAGATTTGGGGCTGTCCATAGGAGCGAGAGAGATAGAGGCATAGTGGTGATCCTAGGACCGGAAGGGGGATCTACCATCAGTTCAATTAACCGATCGTTAGAGAGCGGACGTGCTCTCATTTCCAATATTAATTTTTATATATATATTTTATAATATCCTTATTGTAATTTTAGTGTTTAAATAAATAGTTTTCTTTATATTAAATTTTGGAGTGTTTTAACTGAGTGTTTTCTCCTTGGCGGATTTCATCCTGCAACTCGAGAAGCGGCGTCGGTTAGAGTCAGCTGAGCGTCCTCGAGGTAAGTGTAGTTAGTGTCGGCCTACCTCAACGTCCGGCATCAGATGTTCGTATGTCTTGGAGGATCCCCTTGTGAGATTTGTTTGTATAAAGTATTTTGAATTGGCGGGTTAGATGCCAAATTTATTTAATTATAAATCAAAAACCCCGTTACAAGCTTAAGGTAAACTTAAAATTTCCGCTTACAGTGACATCACACAGTAAGGCTATAGTAACCTTGCAAGATAAGCCCACTGCAAGTTTACAGTCATAGTAAGGTCATTGTAAGGTTAAAAGGTAAGTATAAAATAATGAATTAGTTTAAAGGTTAAGAACAATGTGTTGAGGCCTGAGCATAATAGAAATGTAACCGGAAGCGTAATCGCAAACGCAACTGAAAGAATGAGTTAGAGAAGGATAGACATTCTGCGTTGGCCTTATATAAACAGTGCAAGGCAGTACAACTATCCACTGGACTTTTAGGGCGGAGTTACATGTTGATGTAAATGCAGAATGCAAACTCGAAAATAATGAGAGTGAAAAGGATAGTGATATATCCCTGTCC